TGATATCCATCAGGATTCATTTGAAGAAAATGATATCTATCAGGATTCGTTTGAAGAAAATGATATCTATCAGGATCCATTTGAAGAAAATGATATCTATCAGGATCCATTTGAAGATAATCATATCCATAGTCATGATTTCTCAGATGAAGAACTAGATCCACGTTATTTTTTAGCAGAAGAAGACTATTATTCTGAAGAATCCTCCAATTCAGAATATTCAAGACCTGTAAATGAAAATAGTCCTGATTTTACTAATAAAATACCAAATATGGAAATCATTGAAATTAGTGATTCCGAACAAGATATTACTACTCATGAAAAAGGAAAACAGCAAGCCTACTCTATCGAACCACAAGAAAATAAAGTATATTTGCATACTAGAATTGATATATTCTGTTCATATTTGTTTTGACTTTTTTTTTTTAGCAGAGATCACCACTATGCATTATTACGAATTTAGCTCGACCTTCTTTCAATAAACATGAGAAAATTCGCAAACTGCAATTTTAAACGTTAAAAAAAATAGAGAATTTATCAGAAGCACTATGGAAATAAAGCACAAGACCAAGCGAAGCCGTACATTGGAACCTGGTGAATTCGTAAAGATCCGAATTCCTGAAATCGATAAGGTGAAGATGGACCAAAAATCATTACCCTGCAAAGTTATTCAAAAAAAGCCAAATCAAGATTCCTATCAGGTTGCTTGCAAGTTCGGGGTGCTGGAAAATTGGTATCCGGCATGTGAACTCATACCATTAGGCACACCCGATTACCCTAAACTTGACATTGTTCCGCTAAATAATACAATCTCATTACGGCAAGCAGGCACCAAACAAAACCATACACGCCCAACTCAATCTTCAAGGTAAAGTTTTATTTTATTATTTATTTATTCGCTTTTTTTTTACTTTTTAATAATCAAAATTTTATTTGCTAGTAATGATTTAATGTATTCGGCACCTAAAAAAACTCGTGATTGCTGCCATTGCAAAAAGACAAATTGCAACACAAAAGCGTGTTCATGCTGAAGAAATGGTTCATTATGTTCAAGGCGATGTGGATGCATTTTACACGATGAATGCAAAAATCGCTAATTTTCAAATAATGATAATGCGACAATTTTTTCTATAGCAAAGAAACATTTAATTTTTGCTTAAATATAATCGTTTTTATATATATTTCTTTAAGAGTTGTATTTGTTTTTCTTTTAATGCTTAAGTTTAGCATTTAGCGTTTGCATTAAGAATTTGTTTTACATTTATAATTAATAAACATATCGTTTGAAAATTAATATATATTTGTTAGTCGGTAGAACTCATACCGATTCCAAAACGATGTCTGTTATTCATTGATTCAAAAATAACACATGTAGATTCCGAATAGACAGGAATCAATAAACCACGTACAACATATATATGATGTGGGGTGATAATTATGTGATCGAGAGTAAGGTATCAATTAAAATGATGTGTCTTAAATGTATCAGTGATTCGGTTAATTAATGCAGTAATGCAGCGATTAAATTAAAGATTCAACTTAAATATATCAAACAATGCGATCAGTAAATTAATAATTAAACGATGTATTAAAATAATGTACGGGCAACAATATGTTAAATTAAGAGTCTAATAAACAATACAACGCATAGTTTAATGCTAACAAGCAGTGTAAGAGTTCGACAATACAAAAATAGAGATTATAAGTTGCCTTCGGCTTTGAAATGCCTACTAACTTATAATTAGAGTTTATTAATCAGAGCGAAGTCTGAGGGAACTTTATTAAGGAAAACCTTTTGACTTTAAATACATAAATAATTTAAACTAGTCTATTGTCAGAATATAATACCTAGCCAATAACTATTTGCGTTTTACTCAAGCTAATTACAATTTAAAAAGTACACTAATTAATCTTCATTCCGTAGGGATGTTAACAGTCTGGTCTGGTCCAGTCTGGTCTATTTGGTCCAGGTCTGGTCTGGTCTATTATGATCTTCATTCTTAAGACTTTGGTAATCCAGACCAGTCCAGACTTAAGACTTAGAGCAGACCAATTTTTTTCGAGTTTAGACCAGTCTTAAGACTAAACGTGGTCTATTAGTCTAAGACCGGACCACATAACTGATAACATCCCTATCATTCCGTTATTTCAACTTTAATACAGTTATAATTTTACACGGCAATATTTCTTGTACCAATCGTATGGCTCTCTAGATGCCAAGTTAATAATTGAATGTTTCAAGTTCATTCATCTCTCCTGTGAATTTGAATCATATGATCCTTTTGTACAAGGGGCGAGATGGTAATATTTAAATGCATCAGATTCATTTGTCCCTGAAGGAAGCAAGATTAATTCGTACAGGACTATTCTATGTATTATGAATATTATGTGACAGAAGGGCTTAAAAGATGATTCATCATATAATTATGTAAAGTTGGGGCTCGCGTTATCCATCTATGCAGTATGATTGAATAAATAAGGAAAGAAATATAATATATTGGAGTTACAAATAAAGATAATCAGAAAGAAACGTAGTATGGTATAGTGTTTCGGGCAAAATCCATTTCCAAAATCCGAAAGGCGAAACCGAAATGCTCCCAAAGGTGAAATAAATCTGAAATTTCTGAAATTTTTTAAATGGGCGTACTTTCGAAACCTGGTGAAACCTCCAAAACCCAGTAAAACCGAAATAGCGAAATCTCTGAAACTTGTTCAATTTTTTTTTTTTTTACTTTTTTGGATTTCGATTTTTTTTTTACTTTTTTGGATTTCTATTATTGTATTATTTTCTTGTATGCAGAATTATAAGTTAATTCATAATTTAATTTGTAATTACTAACATTTGATTTCTCCATCTCTTAATCTAGTGCATAGGCAAATTTGCTTGCAAAAACATAGTAATACATGAAATATACATATGAAGAAATAATACTAGGTAAAATAACTTAATTTATATACTTTAAAATATTTATTTAAAATTTACAGTATTTTAATCCTTTAATAAATTTTATTTCAAAATTTACAGTATTTTAATCATTTAACAAATTATTTCAACATTAAAGAACCAAATTGTGAGGTATTTTTTAAAAAAAATTTATATAAGAAAATTTATAAGAAAAATTTTTGTAGGCTCTATCAATAAATCTTCCTGATTAGATAACTATGCAAATTTCTAATATTAGATTTTGAAACTTTCACCAAGTTTCGGTTTCGCCAATTTTCGGACATTTCGCCAGTTTCAGACATTTCGCAAGGTTTCGAACATTTCGCCAGTTTCGCCAGTTTCGGAATTATCAAATTTCAGGTCTTTGAGCGAAACATATTTCGTCCTATTTCAGAAATTTCGTCCGAAGCACTAGTAAGGTGGTACAATTAAAAGAAGGTTTAATGGTGATTGATGTAAGGATGATTGATGTATCAAAGCAGGGTTAAAATAAAAATTTTATTTTACAGGGGTTACACCGGGAATTCTGGGAATTGGGAAAATAAATTAATTTATTATAGATCATTGGTATCATACTAAAAATAAAATAAATTTATTATCTGATATATAAGAGCTGTAAAGTTTCTTTCAAGTAATTATAAAATGGTTTTAAATAAAAAAAATTACATTACTGAAAAATTCAGTGAAATTGATGTGTTCATGAAAACTTAAGTCATGTATTATACTGTAGTTTGTTATTGAAAAAAATTATAATAATTTTTATATAATACAGTTATTCTTTTTTGCAATCATTTCTTATATAATCACATCCTCTTTAACAACATTATTTTTAGAAAATTATTGGCAATATATATATTAAAAACCTTTATATAATCACAGTACTATTAAATCTTATAATCATGCCTTTTTTTGTGCAGTGTAGAGGATGATTGTACCAGGTATTTTCCAAGGTATAGGAGTACTATTCATTGAACTTTGATAGGGTTGTACCTGGGTTAAAGATGAGCAAGGTAATTTGCTTATTACACAAAAGTTAAATCACAATATGACTTTTACATAATAAGTAAATTACTTGCCATCTCTAACCCGGATATAAATCAAATTTAAGATTACAAATAATTACAGTGTAGATCTCATAGGGGATCTACACATGGCACTTTACGGTAGTTTCACTGCCTTTTGCCACTTTATTACATTTCTTTAGTTTCGTTACCTTTTGTAGTTTCGCCACCTTTTGCAAGTTTCACCACTTTCACTAGTTTCGCCACCTTTGCCACCTTTCACTAGTCTCGCCACCTTTGCCATCTTTCATTAGTCTCGTCACCTTTCACTAGTTTCGCCACCTTTCACTAGTTTCGCCAATTAGTCTTTTAAAATTTTTTTTTTTTGGCGAAAGTCGAAACTGGATAAAGAAGATGGATTACCTCGTCGCCGCGTCTAAGAAGCAGTTCACGGAAAAAAATTAGTACAACCGGAAAATGTTATGATGGCTAATGATTTGGCGGTAATTCATCGTGTTATTAGTAAGGGCTTAGCCTTTTGCCAATGGCGAAACCTCTAGGTTTCGTGTAATCGGGACCCAAATTTGAAAATAATTATGAATGTGGGCCCAATTTAAAAATATTTATGAAAATATTACAAATACGGGCCCAGTAATTTTGCGTCGTATAAATCAGTGCCCATCGTGGCTTAAGCAGGATCTCAAACCAATCATCATGTTTTAACTTACTTGTACGTACGTACGTACGTACGTACATACGACATTTTGTCGTAACACCGGTTGAACCAAATTACTGTTATTCGAAAATAATGTATACATATTATTCATTTTTTGAACATAGTACGTATTACTCACAATAAAACCAATAATAACAACAAATATTGACCTAATTAAAACAATTTAACTTTTTAATCCTATTAGATAAGTTTAAAAATGTTGAAAATATGATATACATATCTATGATCTGTACAGTGAGCTAATAACGATAACAGGTTAATCACTTTATAACAATTCTAACCAAAAAAAGAACAATTCTTGATTAAACTCGTGGTACAATATAA